TTTCATTTTACAAACCTATCATTTTATTTCTAATACCAGGTAGCTTGGAAGGCGTCTTAGTTAGCAGATCATTTTCCTGACACTCACTTAGTATTCAAAGGGCTGTGAAACCTAGAATCTTAGATACAGTGTTAGTCAAGCTGATCGTCTGTTATTACCACAGGAAGATTTATTATCTTTCTTATGAAGTGGGATAGTCTACAGGTTGCGGAAACAATGTTGCTGTTCCCGTGTTTTTATGGTAGATAGAGTTATCGCTAACCTAACTGACACTGGAGGACCAACAACACAATATTATTCTGGATGGGGTTGGATGATGGGTGAATACAGTACCATGGTAGATCACACTTGGCGTGATCCACAAGCACTGCATTCGTTTTGTCTGAGAAGTTTTCTTCCTTCATGGAGGTCACTTAGTTCAACACTGCTTTCATGTAGCATTGATAAGCCTCGGTAGTTAAAGGGCGTCGTCTAGCCCTGATACCACTTCCTATATCTTCATTTCCATTTTATTGATAACTGTTGGAGCTTGTATGAGGCTAGGGTATGGGCAGCTTCATTTCATCGTCATGTTCACAGCCCAACGATACTGGTATCCTAGCATCGGTCGGCTGAGATGAGAGCATAGGAATCTAAATGGCTTGTACTGATGTTTACTTCAAAATTACTGACTGTTCTTATCGATGTTTCTACAGCAGACTACATACGATATAGTAAATCTTCAAGATGAACTGACTGTTTAGCTTCTCCCTAAATATAAAACTTACATTTTGATTGGGAAGGTATACACAAGGTCTCCACAACTGTTCTTTTTCCACGTTTATTCAACCACCCACACACTATTACATGATCAGACTCATGTATAACTTTATGGAAATATATAACATCTGAAGATTTCGAATTGCTGTTGCCTGCGATTACAGTTTTAGATGTTAAATGTCAGCTGTTAGGACTAGACTAATGAACAGACTGCATAGTATAAGGTATACTGTAACCTTGTACCAATACTTTGTAATTTAATATCACGGAATATCATACAATAGGGATATTTGATAAGAACATCAGAAAATAAAATGAACTCATCAAAAACAAATTTACGTCGATTGCTGCTACTTTCTTCTTCTGTAATGTAAACGAAAAGGTGATCTTGACTGCTGATGATTTATAAAATCATTGTTTCGCCACATGATAAATACTATTTACTAATGTATTAATTTACAAACTATGTACGTTAGTGAATAAAGTTCATTAACTAGATCAATGTGGTAAATACTAATAATTGATCCAAGTAATCTGTAATAACACATAATTAACACTGGTTATTTCTGAATTGATTAGGGAGAATCATATGATCTAAACACTTCCACACTTTGGTAAGGAAATATCATCAATGTTTCTTTATGTAAATAGATGAATAACATTTACTTAAGTGTTTGAATACCAAAAGCAAATTTACAGGTATTACTACTAAAGAAGCACATTTAGTAACACTTTGAAGTGGCGTAAGGTCTCGGCTGGATCCATTAGTCGCCACTGTGCATAGTGGTTCACTTAAGCATAAAATCACTGATTTCCAACTGTACAAGAAGTATGTTGGCTGTGGTATTGATATGAATTATATATTGCACATATTTAGTAACTTCCATCCACCTAAATTTCACCGTTGTAAGGAGGAAAGGGATTTGAAATATCTTCATTCCGTGAAAAGCTAATGAAGAAGACTGACGGAAAGTTGAGGGTATCGATTACTAGAAAGCTGATCTGGAATAGTCAACTAAAAAATTTGATAATCAGAAGAATTTGATAATATGCTATAAACAACCAAGATGCTTAATTTAACTGTAATTGTACGGAACAACAGATAAGCCTTCGGAGAAAAGACTTGACTGAACATGGATATCCACATCAGTTCATCCATAAACTCGAGGTGAAGCTTCTACTTTTACTCAAAAAAGAGGCTGTAAATTCAAACGTAGCCAAGTTTATGATATCCTGAGGAGATCGCTGAGTGACATTACTCATCAGGACTTCAGGTGAAACCCGAATGGGAAGTGACGAATTGAGCATCCAAGGTTAATGTAGAGAAGATAGTGTGACGAGATGAGAGCTTTTGGGCAGTCGTGGGACCAGCTAAAGAGGGCCTCAAAGGGCAGAATGAAATGGAGATGTATTTCTGAATCCTTATGCTCCACTCAGAACCCTGCAAAATAATAACTGTACAATTTTAACTACGAGTGTGGCGTGTGCTACCAACAAGATTTATCAGTAGCATATAAAGAGGTGGTCACCAGCACAAAATATCGAATAGTGAAGTGATAGAGGAAGAGAGAGGGAGAAAATGAACCAGCGTTGCGGCAAAAGAGGGGAGACGCGAAAAGAAGACAAAGAAACACAATACTAAGGGTAGAAGTAGCATAACGCAGAAGATCTGTGAAAATAACGACTTTCAAATAAGGTATACATAATTTCTCGAAATGTGTATATCAAAGTGCAACTCAACATTCTGTTGCCAAGTCTCTTTTCCACCCCGGTTACAAGTGAAATTATGTATACCTTATTTGAAAGTCGTTATTTTCACAGATCTTCCACGTTGTGCTATTTCCACCCTTCGTATTGTGTTTCTTTGTCTTCTTTTTGCTTCTCCCCTCTTCTGCCACAAAACTGCTTCATTTGCTCCCTCTCTCTGACAATAAGTCTATCACTCCGCTATTCGATATTTTGTGCTGATGAACGTCTCTTGATGTGCTACTGATAAATCTTGTAAGTAACAGACACCACACAAACACAAATGTATTCATTTCACCCTAAAGGTTCTCTTCATCTGGTTAAAACATTTATTCGGTCAGTAAAAAGGCATACTAGACATTAAATAATGATAAAGCCCACTTAACGCATCGGTCCATACTCTCTAATGGAACAAAACAATTTAATAGGAATTATGTCATACCAGGTAAACAAAAAGTAATGTGCATTCTTTTTCATCAGTTGCATTATTCATGTTTTAGGGGGTCTATTTACCTCTTCTCATAAATTCTGTATGCTTTGCAAAGCTAATAGATAACAGCTTGCAAGTTTGCATTGTTTATCTCTATGATTACTAGTGAAAACATTGTTGAAATTACTGGGGTAATCACACTGTCATCTTATCAATCTTTATCAGTCTGAAATAAATCATTTTCTGTGTGATTACACAATCATTCCGGCTGTATTTTTAATTGTCGCTTATGGTTGTCAGAATGGATGACAAGTGGTTTTCTATTTTGATGACCAATGCTTAGATTTATTCACATAAATATAAGTTATGATGACTCAGTGGGACGAGAACGTATTACCATCCAGTTTCGCTGAGAATGTGTTACATATTCTCCAGCATAGTTTCTCATTTTAGTATAGAAACGTGAATATGTTAGTGAATTTATGTGAAATCGTTTTCATTTAATGTGCACTTGTGCCATTAGCGAGGGATACTCTTTAAAAGAACAGTGAGACCAACTGCTCAGTTCCGCGAACACCGAAAATATCATGAAGTAGGTAGTGAGAATTCAAGTAGTTCTGAAATGGATTAAACTGGCTACGACACTGGTAAGCTTGACCCCAAACAGTGGAAACAGCCATCGGCTGCTTAAATTACTTCGACCTGGGTAGCATGAACTACTGGTTGATGTGAATAGTATTCAACTACTCAGTAGTACACAGCATCCTCAGTAAATTCGTTGATGTGCTTCTTAGCCTTGATTTTTGACTACGGAAGTTCCAGCACTGGGCCTAATGGCAAATACACCACTGAATTTATCAAAACGTTCTCATCCCGAGCTACAAATCTCCACTATTTCAGGATTTTCATCATGAGCTGACATTAGTTAGAGAACCATTGGAAAACCTGAGAGTACTGGACAGCTTTTTCGTCCTAGTTTGGGACTCTTCATCAGTACGCACCCACCGGGATTCGAACCCAGGACCTTCTGTCAGCTCATGATGAAAATCCTGTAACCAATCAAATCCCTACAAACCAACACTTGAACTCCACTATTTCAACATATGCAATATTCTTAGTCTTAGAATAAAATTGTTTAAAAGATTTTGCTGTTGAAGGCGTTAATACGAATTCATTTCATTTTACACTTTAACGTGTGATATGGTATTCTTGGTAAACTGTCTACAGGTTATTTATAACCCTTAAGTTCCCCTTCATAAATCACCAAAACAGAACACTTGTTACAGTTCTTTTGCGTACGCAACAATAAAATCCAGACTACCCAGTTCCAAAGTGCATTGTCAACAGAAAGAGAAGAGAGTAAAACTTCCTATTGTACAACGATTTATAATAACTCATTTAAATCTCATAACAAAACTAATAACACAGAAGATCATCAGAACTGTGAGTATAAATGTGATAAGACAAGTGAATCAATGACAATGACCGTGACAAGAATATTCATTAGTGAATAATGATAATAATAATAATAGTAATAATAACACATTGTTCAAAATTATACATTATTACAAAGTCAAATAGACTTCACTGGTACATGTTTAATATTACGTATGAGTACATTTAGTATGTTAACGTTTAAGTGTAATAATACAAGCATTCATCAACATAAAACACTTACCACAAGGTGATATTTATTGTTCTCTACTGGTGTCAGATAACAATAATTAACTGTACATAATCTTTTGTCAGAAAGAAGGAGAAAATTCCTGATATATGGTTATGCTTTATTAATCTTAAACTTGTACAAGGTTACCTTGAAACACAGACTGGATCCATTCATATAGGATATATATAAATATTCCTTGAGTAGGTTTATTCTCCTGATATGCACATTAGTTCCCGTGTGTTAGCTAGTGAAAGACATTTGTTTCTCCTTAGATAGAGTAACATTGTTCCGGCTTCAGATAAAATATATATTTATATATAATTAAACGAAAGACATCATTTAACTATGCTTTGTATAACTCTTTGAAGATACAACAAAGTCATCTGAATGCTGAACAATTCATCGTCTTCTTAGGAAACAAAAATAATTTGAACTAGATATACGTCGTTTCAATTCTGAGCTTCGACGTGTAATGATTGACTTGCCAGCTACGGCACCATTAGATGAAATTGATTTTTTCCTGTGAATAGGTAGGATACTACAAAATTTCGATGATCGCATACTTTCTTTGTCTGTATCCAGTATAATACGAGCAGCTAGTTCAAATATGGAATTCACATTAGATCTTGTCAATGCGGAACATTCGATAACAATCTGTGCACCGATTTGTTTACACACCTTGACTGCATCGTTTGGATCAATAAGCATGTTTTGTGTTGCATTCGATGCAGAGTTATTCAAATTCCCTGCTTTAGGAACTACACGTTTATCAGCTTTACATCCGACTAAGATAAGTGGTATATGTGGACAGTAACACTTTACTTCATCAAGCCATGTATGTACAATATTTTCGAGACTAGTTGGACAGTCTACAGCATAACACAGTAGAATTAAACTGGCACCAGGATAGGCTAGTTGACGAATTTGATCAAATTCCTCCTGACCACCAGTATCCCATAAGCCTAAAGTTATATGACGACCATCTGGTAGTTCAACTTCTTTAGCTGATGTTTCAAATACAGTGGGAATATAATAATCTTGAAATGCACCATTTACAAATGCTGACAGTAAAGCAGTTTTTCCAACCATACCATCTCCAACAACCACAATTTTCCGTGTTGTTTCAGTCATTACTACCGAATGGGTAGGTCATTATAATCTCCATAGTAAAGTGCGATTAAATCATCTTGTTAAAGTCATCAAACGTGAGCAGAAAAGGATAACTAGTTAACCAAATTGTTTACTAATTAATTTTAACCAATAATACATTCCAATTTTAAATGAACTCTATTGTCATTTAACCTAGAAATATAATTGGTTCTTACTGCGTGTAGGTAATAATCACTTTTAACCAATCAGAATAGCAATTAGATATGATGCCGAAATCATATTACTCTTTCACATAAAAAATTTTTCAAACTAATTGTTACATTAAAAAATATTGCTACATAAATGCTATTTTCAATGCTTTCATACAAAACTTTTGAAAAATACTAAATTCGATTTAGCTGAGAGATAAACAAGTTTCTTTATAAAGAATTTAACTCAGTTAAAAGACACAATTCAAGGTGGCAATAATTAAATAGAGAAACAAAACAATTGTTTCAAGAATAATATAAATAATTTCTCAAAGCCTGAAAAACAAAAGGTTTGCCTCCAAACGGATTTTTGCTTATGTAATAAACTAAAGTAAACTTGCCTATGCTAAGTTAAAGTATCATAGCCACAACCAAGGTTTTTCAAGGTTTGACCTTCAGGAACCAATCAGATTCAGGGAATACAATAGAAGGTAGTTCCAAATAAAATCATGCCTGCCTTTTTGAACCTGGAGAAGGCAAATACAGTATTCCACTTATTCTCTAGGTACTTTTTCTGTAGTTTTATACTGTTAGGTAGGATTATGTTTTGTCACATTAGGGTTTAGAACAATGGCAGAAATAATAGTAAATCTCAGACCATCTGTGTAGTGACTGGGAGAAATTCATATTGCACATAAACGATAATTACATGGTGTAATATCATGTTTGCAATGTTTTTAATACCTTTTCCAAAGACTGCGATTTTATTGCATCTGAATATTGATTGGTTGTTCAAGGTAACTGGAGCTTTGACCATGATAGTTTAACTTTGCCCTTGCCTGAATTCCAAGCAGGGCTTCGTGTTATTCATCTGTAGCTTGAGAAATCAAAATGTTGTATTCTATAAGAGATTAATATTCCATAAAGAATATGTCGGACTCACGGTTACAAACTGCATCACACTTTCCTAGTAAGAAACTTTGAGACATTTATTGTATCATCCCAATTGTTTATATGTGCAAAACAACCGAAATGTTTGAGGTATGAGGTTAGCGCACTGCAATTAGATTAAAGTTGAACTATTGTGTTTGGCGGATGACAAGGGAAAATATTCTCTAATGTAACCGACAAGATTCTTTGTCTGGTATATTTATAAACTTAAATTTGTGATTTAAAGTGTATGCTAGTAAATAGTCGCATAAAAATCATTGAAGTGGCCTTGAATTATTACTAACACAAATGATACCTCAGAAATACATAAATAGCATCTTCCTTTCAGGGACTTTCATAGCCAGGTATTTACTTCTTGTGCAGAATACTCAAATAATATAAGAATTGATAATCTGTTCCATCCCGAAGTCTCTCTTGTTCCCTCAATTCCTTCGAAAAATTCTTGGCAATAGGTAGAAACTTACTTTAAATTGTGTGCGAGCATAAATTGCAACTCATTGTTGTAATTAGATGCTTATAACAATATGAAGCTGAGTGAATACAATTCATTTTGATGGACAGAAAATTTAGGTAGTCCAGTGATTTAAACAGCCCACCAAGTTGTACCTTGTACAGGCTTTAGTCATTCAAAAGAAAAAAGACACTCTACGCTGAAGCGTGGTAGGAAATCAAAGTCAGTAATGTGATTCCTGTTCCAATCTGCTAGTCTGATCGGTAACTGGCCAAAATGAAATAGTAGGAAGTGACCTACAAACACTTGAAAGAGAATGCGCATGGTTTTCATTGAATTTTCAGTCAAATACTCTATAAGGACATAGAATAGGCGAGGTTAACGCTTGAGGTAATGTGTTCTTTTTGATTTATTAGTAGAATTCATTAGGAGTCTTCAAAAACTCAAGAAGAACAAAAACTGGTACCCACGCTTTGAATATAATTCAGCTAATGTCTATAATGCATAAATCCTTCAAACAGTATCTGGATATAAATGAATAACTTCAAGTAACTTGCTTGGGTTAATTTTTATTTCCCTATAACTACTTTCACTGGAGCAAAATGTTTGATCACAGCCGACATGTTGGCTACTATCAAGGACCCTTCTGTAAGGTCTGGTTAGTAATGGGATCTAGGATGTTTACTTCACCTTAATAGGGACTTGTCATTTGGATATACTTGTTTCTGTAGGGAGTGATGGTGTTCCATTGATATTCACCATCATTAAATAACTTCAAATTCTGAAACGATATCAGATAGAAAACAACTCAGAACAAAATCTCACTAGGCAGTTAGTTATTCCTAGTGCAGGACAAGTCAATGAGGACTTAAAAAGTTATGTAAATTTAAGTTTACTACTCTCAAGTGCAGCTTTATAGACATTTTTTTCAACAACTAGATTAGAATCCACTGATGAAAATTTACCGGTTATGACCACCATTCAGTGTCACATTTGTGTGTCAAGCTTAAAGTGACTACATATTTTACATATTCGCTCGAGATTTAATATTAGTGTATTTGAGTAGTATATAAATTGACCTAAAGATGAGTTTGCTGTTTGCCTATCCCCTCTGTCTAACATTTTGATGTCTTACTATCCGTAGACAAATTCTTCATGTTGTATTAATTGTATGTGACGAAAAAGGGCGACTGTTATTCCCCTTAATATCACATTTTTCCGCCATTATCCTTTCACTACTTAAATGTTTAATAACAAGTTTTGAACCATTGTAGCTCTGTGCTAAAAGCAAACGTAATTTTTTTAAATTTTTGATTATAGCTTGATTCCACACAGTATTCTGGTACAATTATGGAATTTTCAGCATGTGATGTCGGTAGTTCAAGTATTGCAAGCTGAGCATTGATATCAGGTGTGCGTTGGTAGTGGATCCAACCTCGAACCACGTGCATGTTCGGCGAGAGTCCTAACCGCTGTGCCACCAAAGTACTAAATAAAGGAGGACCATGAGGCCCTCCCGCTGAAAAAACTACTCACCCGAGCGCATCCAATTATTGTCCGTTGCGAGTTGTAACCCACCGAGGTGCAGTGGTGAGCTTCCACCCGGTGTCAGAGCATTCTTGATCACCCTGAACTCGGTGCATAGAAAAGCCTGTTTTAGTGGAACTTGTCTCCAGAAATTTTACTCTATAAGTTTAATAATGAATATCTAACTGACGAATCCTTTGAGATGGCTAAAAATGAACCTTTCCTATTCGGTCTTCTCTTCTGTGACTTATATATTCATGTAATACACAATTTTCATCATGGTTTGTCATAAATATGTAAGTAGACGTATCAGTCAACACCATATACCTAGATTCACAAAGAAATTCATTTAAACTTCCTATCACCCATCAAGATCACGACAGAATTTATACACACTCTACTACGTGTAATGTACTGTCGATAGGAGTACGCTTCATACCATGGGTCTCCCACCTACCAAACAAGTGCTCTCTGACCCACTGTCACCAATCTTCTTCAGTACATTTGAAAATGGCATGAGTATACCTAATTTTACATTCAGCATAGTAATGAAGTAAACACATTTATTTAGTTCCATTTCAAATGAATGCTTTACGAAATTCTCATTGACTGATATAAAGTAAACACATGGTTAATGCCTAAGTCTTCAATCCAGCTGGTAGAGTGCTGGGATAACATTCTTCATACCAGTAGTTGAAATCCTACCGCCATTCAGGTTTTAATTCCATCTAATATAATATAAAAGCAGTCCCGCAGATCATTTTTCTCTGAAATAATCTGATTAACCTATTAGTAAAGATCTTCAGAGACTGTATTTACATCCGAGATGAATCACTGGTTTGAAGCCTTTAAAAGAAAACGTTTTACGACTGCGAGTGTAAAACTAAATTATCTATCCGGTCGTACAGTTAAATCTGATAAGCTTGCCTCTGTTTTATGAATGTGGACATGTTGGCTAGATGTTATCTTGCTATTTAATTTCCAGGATAGCGAATTGTTTATTAAACACATGAATTTCCATCTAATTTCATAAATTGACTAAACTAAACTTCAATGTGATTGCTAAACCCTCATCCTTCTCTGGTAAAACATTATTACAAAACAGTACTGGGTAAACAGATCTAAACAAATGAGAGGAAGGGATCACTGAACGAGGTTTACCTGAATAGTTGAAAATAAAACTCAGTTATAAGTTTAGGGTTGGAAGGTAGATAGAACATAATTTTCATTCAGGTGGCTGTCAGCATTTTTGCAAGTACCGATCGCATAATAAAGTTATAAATAGGAATTACCAATGATTTAGTTTGGTGGATGGTAACTGCCACTGGAATCCAGTATGTACGTTTCGTCTTACTTAGGACTCGTCACCTGGACGTACCATCATTCCCTAATGGGGTTCCAACCCAGTACTTATAGTTTCAGATTCATACTGCTAGTCACCATACATCAAATTAATTCAAATTAATCCCTAGACGTCGTCGAAGCATCCGCACAAGGAGCCGACATGTCAGTGGAGGCCGGACATTCCAATCAGTCAACGGAAAAATCAAAAGTGAATCAAAAATAAGTATTATAAACGGTTATTGTGATTAGTTATTTTATTCTGTGTTGACCATTGGTCTCACATAGTTCATAAGATATTGGGCACGTTAGGTGTACAGTAATATCCTCAAATGATTTTTACCATTAAATACTAAACCAGCACGACTGTTCATCTCATATACTTTTGGTACTAAGAAGGTCTACAAGTGAAGTATAAAATTCATTGAGGACAAGGACTAATCGACTCCATTGGCTAATTTGATGCAGATGACTTGATAACACTAGGAATGAATTATACAAGCTGCTTTCCACTAGTACTTTAATGCAGACCATATAAGTAAAGCATTTTATTAAAAATTTTA